TAACGCAATTTCGATTCTCTGTATGTCTTGTACATGTGGCTGAATTGACAATAAAGCTGACTTTGACTTGACTTTGACTTTTTATTTGTCAGTAAAGTTCCCCGTCAGGTGAGCCCTGCAGATTCCTCCGTGGCCCCCAGCACTGACTCAGCGGAGGAGTCACTTGCTGGCCCACTACGTTGTAGGTCTGCCCGCTGGTCAGCCCGCGTTTTGGGTAAAGGTGCCTGCTATGCGTGATCCCCACTAGGCGATCCCATATGCTTATTCCGCCACGGTTAAGTCCCCCCCCTGGGCGGACCCGTGTCTTCCCTCCCTGCTAACCACTCTTTTGCTATGCGTACTCCCCCTTTTTAGGGCTAGTCCATATGTAAATTCTGCCATCTATCCCCCCTTGGGTAACGGATGGCCTCCGCAGCGTCCTCCCTATCGGGATGGCACGCTTCCCAACGTACTGTCGTATTTTCCTAGAATTATCTAGATGCTCACGACTTCCCAAAAAATATATATAAATCCGTAAAACTTCTGTTGAAGTAGGATAAATTAGGGCCAGGGACACGTTGGAGGACCGCGCCCCCCATGATGTGACATCTCCTCATCTGGGGTGTTGGTAAGGTGCAGTCATTATGGCGCTTTCAATGGGCTCCCAATGCGTGGATTTTACAATCAAATCCACTTATAGTGCTGAAGTTCCCCCCGAAGGGGAACGTTCGAGGTTACTAAAGTAACCCTTCGTTCCCCGAGGAGGGGAACGGAAGCACTATACTCCGTCGCCATAATGACTGTCCCTTAGCTGTTGAAAGTCTCTTCAGCTTAAAAAGGATAGCGTCTGCTGGCGCCAGGTGAGCTTATATACTCAGTTGATTGCTTATGCCGCTCACCTGCGCAGGCTTGCGCTGCCAATTCATTCTTAATTGGCCCGTTCAATACTCTTTCAGACGAGTAGCTTCTGAACCGAACCTCCCAATGCGTGGATTTTACAATCAAATCCACTTATAGTGCTTCCGTTCCCCTCCTCGGGGAACGAAGGGTTACTTTAGTAACCTCGAACGTTCTGTAGACTATCGAAAAAAAAATAGCTTAAAGGGCTAATAATTTTGACCTTAAAATTGCTTTTAAAAAATTAAAAACTGCTTTTATTCTAGCCAAAATGAAACAAATAAGACTTTCTCCAGAAGAAAAAGTATTATCAGACATACTATGAAAATGTCCTTGCTCGGTTAAACATCATTTGGGAATAATTTGGGAGAAAAGTCAGAATATTTTCAACCACCTACCAATTAATGTATCTATTAAATATATAGAACTACTCTGTAACATATTGGAACATTTTTTATGGCTGCAAACAATAACCTGAAACAATATTCACTTGACATAATTTTTTATTCACTTTACATAATTTTTTTGCAATATTTTTGAGATTTTGCTAAATTTTAAGTATTTTCAATTGAACGATTTGTGAAGTGTAATGAAAACACTCCTTTCATTTATTTTTTTTCTATCATTTTTTTTTATTCTTTTATTTTTCTTTCAGTTTTTTTTTTTTTTTTTGTGTACTTGATGTTAAGTGTTGGTGTTTATTGTGTTATTTATGTCATTCTTGTTTTATGTGAAGACCACTATGTCAGAATGAATTGCCCCAAGGGGATTAATAAAGCTTTAATTTAAACTATAGAACAAGTGTGATTGATTTCATTTTATTTTACATTCTTACATTTATGAAGGAAAGGCTTAATGATGAATGTGACACCACTCTATTATGGATGTGACAGATGTGAAATTGCCACTTGTATGACTTTAATAAAGCTAATATAGTTGTTTGAAAACATTGACAGCGACATTTTTAGTATTTTTACAGTACTGTAAAAAACAACCTAGGGCTGCGCAATTAATTGACAAGTAATCGAAATCGACATTCAAAACTACAATCAATCTCATTTTTCCAGGTCAATTTAAAAAAAAAATTGCTTTCCCTACTGTGTGTGGTTTATACTTCTGCGTCAAACACACGCGTATGGTCAGGCGTAGCCTTTGCGTGGTCACATACCCTACTATACTACAGGTAACCTATACCTTTTTCATTTAATATGAAAAAAAAAAAAACATTGAAAATTATTTATTTTGTGTCCCAAAGAGCAAGTTGTTTATTTTCTTATTTCTTATTACTTTTTTTCTTATTAAAAAAATGACTATTGGATTTAGACCTTTTAGACTGTTAGTTTTAATAGGTAATTTAATTTCATTTGTTCAATGTTGATGTCCAATAAATAATCTTAGATAGTAGATGTGTGTGTGTTTCCTTTAGTTATTTTAAAATCAAGCAATGAACCTATCATTTAACAATCTCTCAGCTGTAATGTGAGCATATTTACTGTACGAAACCTGTCAGTAAACTGAGGGCAAAAAAATATAAATGAATAAATAAATAAATAAATAAATAAATAAATAAATAAATGATCATAATTGAGTTAAAATGTTCAGTTAATAGAGATTTTGATTTTGGCCAAATTGCCTAGACCTAATACAAGACTACACAAAAAAAAAAAAAAAAAATTTGAAAGGGTCTTTCTAGTTTGGCTCTTTTTTTTTTTTTTGATGGCAAGCTTGATTTTTGTATGAAATTGCTCTTATGCTTCTTGTTGTGTATTTAAGCTTGAAAATAAAAATACATTAAAAAAATCTTACTGTTTATTGTCAGTCTTGGTGATTAAAAATGAAACATCATTAGCATCTCTGATAATGTCTTTCTGATGTGCACATGCCACCAACAGTGCAAAGTTTTTTCTGCTTTTCATCCACATAAACACGACAGAGAAATGAGAACAGGCTGGATCTGAATCTCACTCATCTGAGAAATGCCGTGTATAAATTATTTATGGATCTGTGGGCATAGTTCTGAGACAATGAATATGAATTGAATTGCGAGGTGACAGAAACCATCAGCCTCCTCCCTTCAGAAGCTGCGCCCAGAGCCTGCAGACAGCAGAAGCCAACCCCAAACCACACTCCTGTGTTCTTTCAAGAGGAGAACACTTCACTTTTAATATACCGAAGATAAAATCATCAACACAGATAGATGTGCAGACAGACAGGTCGAGGATGCAAACAGGAACATCTAAAAATATGGAGAGCCAATGGGGAAGATGTTGAGATATGGACTTTAGATGTGTTGGAGGAATAACATGGACATGTACAGTAGCTGAAGAAACCCAGACAGAAGAGGAGCAGATTGACAGGCAGTAATACTACTCTACTGGACTGGACCATACAAACACCAGGCTAGTGGGAGACGCACAGAGAAAAAGAAAGTAAGAGAGAGGAGCAGATGGTTAGAACCCCCCAAAGTTCCAAACACACTCGCCACTCAGCTCTGCAGAATGTCTTTTACTCATTGTATGGCAAATATGCCAAATGTCTATCAATTCATCAAGTGTCCGAAAATACAGTAGATAACTGGAATGATTTTGGTATAATTTAGTCATATAGTCTTGTTTTTAAAGTGATAGTAAACCCAAAAATTAACATACTACCTATTTACTTACCCTAAAGTGGATCCTATGTGTTTATTTCTTCTGTTAAAAACAAAAGAAGATATTTTGATGAAAGCTAAAAACCTATAACCATTGACTTCTGTTGTAGGTAAAACAACTACTACCGAAGTCAGTAGTTACAGGTTTCCAGCTTTCTTCAAAATGTAGCCTTTGTGTTTAACAGAAAAAAACAAAAAAAAAAGTAATAATATAATTTCTTTCAATTAATTTATCCTTTTATGGACACTCAAAGCGCTTTTCACATTGGCTGGAATCTCCTCATCCAACACCAGTGTGGAGCATCCACCTGGATGATGCAACAGCAGCTGTATTGCACCAGGCCGCACACCACACATCAGCTGGTTGGTGGAGAGGACAAAGAGCGATGAAGCCAATTATAATATGAGGATGGTTAGGAGGCCATGATTGACAGAAACCAGTGGGCAAAATTCTTAGGATGCTGGGGTTAAACCCCTACTCTTTTTTTTGAAGGACATCCTGGGATTTTTAATGACCGCAGAGAGCCAGGACCTTGGTTTAACGTCTCATCTGAAAGACGGATTGGAAGGGATTAGAACAAGTGAAGGCAGACTAAATAATGGCAGCATTTTCATTTTGGAGAAGTAAAAGAAGTCAGAGGGAAGCTTGAAGCTAGCTTGTCATTTCATAATTGAATGTACTTAATTTACAGTTGGGGTGCCCTTCTAAAGTTTTAAATAGTTTATTCTGGTTGTTCAATTGTGGCATTTAGAGGTCCAATATTTTGTCCAATAAATTCATTACATTCATTCATTCATTTATTCAATCAATCAATACATTAATTGAATTAGGATGTTACATTTATGATGTTATAATTTTAGGATTAGGATTTAGATAATTAGGATTGCATCTTTATGTAGTATAGCTTGATTTATATTACATGCAACAATTTAATGGATATTCTGAAAGTATGTTTATGTTTCATTTCTAAAAAAAATTATGCATTTATGTTTGTTTAAAATGTTGTCTAATAATTTTAATCAAAGCCATTATTAAAAATACACTCGCTCACTTTTTTTTTTTTTTAAATAGGAAGTTGGAAAATTAATCTGTTTTCAAAAATTCCTTAAAATGTATAAAAAATATTGTATTTAAAAAAAAATTCACTATTTTAACCATTGCATTCATCAAATAATCAAAAAATGCATCACTTTTTCACCAAAAGTAAAATATTAATTAATTTGAAAACAATAAAAATAATTTTAGATGCTGATTTGGTGAAATAAATTACATATATATTCAAGAATTTGACAGAAATGTATTGTGTAGAAAATATGTGGCAGTATTACTATTTTTATTTAGCATATACTAAAGTTTGTACTGATATTCTAATGGCCAAATAGTGTAGCAGGGTGAAGAGGGCGAATATCTTTGGAAGCAGTGTAAGGCTGAGAGGCAGGAGTGGATAATGAACGTTGCTCTACTGTTAAATACATTGCACTCCTGACTGGTTAGTAAGAGGGGGTTAAAATCATCTGGGACAGAGTCATCCGTCAGAGCTAAGGACCAGGATTTCTCCGATGCCAGAGATAGAGCCTCCATCTCGGCTAGAGGAATCTAAAGAAGAAGAGATGAGCCAAGAGTGAGAAGGGCAACCAGCACATGCATAGTTAGAAGACACGCACAGACTATCACACAGGTTAGTGCCAGTAAGTTAATACAAAAATTCGGTGAATCAGTGCATGGAAACCAGGGCCACTTGGATTTAAATTGAGAAGGTGTTTTATATTCACCTCCTGAGTCAAACAGAACTAGGATTGCAATTCAAATCTCGATGCATAGCAGAATTTTAACTTCTTTTTTAAGTAGCGACGTTGAGCTTGTAAAGACATTTTTTTTTTTACATAGGCTTGACAACACCTTGCTTGACCGTATTGAAAGTAAATCACTAGACAGAAATGGATACCTGTACTTAAAACAAATAATACATTTTGAACCAATGGTTTAGTGTGTTTTGCAGTCATGTTATTTTAGTAAAAATTAACACTTGAAATTATAAATATTTAGAAATTGCAATGATTTGTCGTTACTCTTGTTATCGTCTCTGTATACCTGCGTAATACTGATTGTCACCCATGTGGTAAACATCTATATATTTTAAACGATTTCTGATCAGTTTTAGAAATTTGCTGTGATTTTTAATAAGATGTTTGTGAAACTTAAAAACAGAGCTATTTAAATGTTTCTTAGTAGCCTTGGGTGTGTTTTGCAAAAACCATTGTTAGGAAGTTTCGTCGTTACAAACATAGTTCACATTCACATAGCTGACATTTCCCAAATCCGTCGTTTCAAAGAACATTCACAAACTGCATCACAAACTTGTGCACTTGCAACTACACCTTTGGAACTGTAGTTAGAAACAGTTCCTGACTGTGTTCTAGTTCTAGTTATCCTTACTATGCCCTATTCCTTTAGAACATTCTAATATTTACGGAATTATTAAAAAAGCATTAAATTAATCTCTTAGGTGTAATTTGCTTTCAAAGTATTTTTGTAGTTCAGTTTTAGCGATCTTCATGTTTACAATTGCGCTCCCTTCACAGTGCACTTTGAAAAACGTTGATGTCAATTTAAATTTATGTTACGTCTCCAAAGCTAGCGTATTATTTACAGTCATTGCTCTAAAGCTTGTGAAAACAAAAAAAACTAGGTTACTTTATTGCTTTTACATGGGCCTGTTGGTTAGAACATTTCTGCAGTGGTATACAAGTGTCAAATTGTAAAAGTAGACTTAAAAAAAACAATATTCGACTTGATAATAATAATATCAATAAAAATAATATTCAATCATTAATTTTCTTTTCGGCTTAGCCCCTTTATTAATCTGGGGTCACCACAGCGGAATGAACCACCAACCTATCCAACATGTGTTTACGCAGCAACCCATCAATGGGAAACATCCACACACACTCATTTACACACATACACTACGAACAATTTAGCCTATACCCATTCACCTGTACCACATGTCTTTGGACTTGTGGGGGAAACCGGAGCACCCAGAAGAAACCCGCGCAAACATGGCGAGAACATGCAAACACCCCACAGAAATGTCAACTGACCCAGCTGGGGCGTGAACCAGCGACCTTCTTGCTGTCTACTGCACCACCGCATCACCCAATAATAATAATATTAATCATCATCACCAACATCATTATTATTAATATTATTATTAAAGTCTTTTTTTTCATTTACTAATAACTAATAAATATTAAAATTAATTTCGTATTAAATAGCCTCATTTTTTATTTAACATATGATTTATATATGATATTAGAATGTGTTTTAGCTTTTGTAAGTGGTTTTAATTTTAAAATAGAATATGTAATGTTCTCAATAATATCTGTACAGGAAACACAGGCCCTTTATGTGCTGTTTACATATATTTCAATTAATAAAGAAAGCGAGTGCATGTTTTTACCAAACCTGATATTTATTTATTTTTTATGCGTGTGCATGCAAAACAATATAATTTGCACAACGAAATTATGGGCTTTTCCACAAAGTAGTTACTCCACCCTGTTTACACCATCATTAAGGCCATTTTACGTTATAACTAACATGGTTCAAATGAGAAATGGGAAACACTTGCCGCTACATCATTCTTTTCCAAAATGATGCATCGTACTATGATAGTTCAGCTGTGAGTTACATTGTTGTTTGCAAAACGCACCACTGTTTAAACAAACCCTTCAATAAACAAACAAAAAGAGCCTTAAAATGTATTAAAAATGATAGATAGATAGATAGATAGATAGATAGATAGATAGATAGATAGATAGATAGATAGATAGATAGATAGATAGATAGATAGATAGATAGATAGATAGATAGATAGATAGATAGATAGATAGATAGATAGATAGACACTTTTTCTTAGCTTTAAAGGAAACACCCTTTCAGTCAGCTGACATAATGCACATACCAGTAGCCATGACAGATATGGACAGATAATGTTTAATTGGTTGTCAGATATAAAAGATCAGTTCAGATAAGAGAAATAATGTGGAAAAAAGTTTTGCAGGCAAAATCCTGCATGCTGCAGCATATAATTGACCCTGAGACTTTGGACTGGTACATTTTGCAAAGTCACCAAAATAAAAGAGCCAGCTATTTCCATAAAGACATTACAGAATCTGCAATTACATAAAAAAAAGCTTTTAGACGCCTCAAATTTTGCGATGCTAATGCAATTTTATGAAATATTTCTCTGTGAAACAGAGCAAAAGAGATTTTCTTGCATAATTCAACAGCTGGTCCAGCTCTTTATCGATCCACATATTCTCTTTTCGACTCCAGCCTGATGAGTCTATCACTTTTTGGGGTATTTATGGTCTTGGCAACAAGGCATAAATTTGCAAGACTTCGTCACTTAAATGGGATCAGAAAATAAATAGTAAAGCAGAATCGAAGAGTGTCAAACAACATGTTTTTAACTGGCACACACAGTTCTGTCCCATTATTCAAGTTTAAATGTTTCCAAGAGAAAGAAGGGAAAGAGAAAGACAGAGAGAAGGCAATGCTGGGTGAACAGGGAAGACATTGACCTGTTTCTCAGTGCAGTGTTTGTTGGGAAGGGGGGGCAGAGCGTAGTAGTGGCAGATGGAGCCAGACAGGTTGTCCATGAGGCTGAGCTCTCCTTCCAGCGAGCCCTGGATCACCAGGGAAACTGAGTCAAACATAGGCCTCCGCTAAAAGCGCCAGGTACGGCAGACAGGATGAATGACGGAGAGAGAGAAAGAAAGCAGACAGAGACAGAGGCAGAGGAGATGGGAACGGGTGACGTAAATGACATCACACAGAGAAAAAAAACAGAGGAGAAATGAAGGAAGGAGAGAAGTTTGCAGACTGTAACACAAGCAGCCACAAGGAAGAATCACAAAGGACAGTTCACCTCAAACTTACCTTATTACAAACCTATATCTTTGTTCTTTTATTTGGAAAATTGTGTCAGTGTTCCATATACATCTTTTGGCAATTCACAATGCACCAATAGACTGGTTTCCCTTATTAAACATGATCAATCTGTGTTCACTAGATCATAAAACAACTGTAATCTGTTGTATTTATCATCTGTCAGTCCAAAGTGACATGACTTTTTGAAACAAAATGAGGATGAGTATATTTTAATTTCGAGTTAAACCACAATTGCAGAGTTCATGTGCTGATCAGATGTATTTCTCACAAGTGAAACGTTCAATGCTACCACTGACATCCACGAGGGGGAACTAGAGGTCTATGAACATTTATCCTGATGATCAGTCAAAAATCCACCCAGACTTACTTCAGAAGAGAGCTGGAGGGACAATGTCATTGTCAACTTAAAAAAAAGGCTGGTATTTTCTGGAAATAGCCAGCCTGCATTTTAAAAAATGGCCTGTATCACTACTTTCCCATGGCATCAGTTTAACCTCTGGCCACTGACGAGCAAACAACAGGCACATCTCCATACGTCAAACAAAAACAGTGGACTTCCCCGCTATAAAAACAGCAGTCTACTGTTTTAAAAAGTGCACTTGAGTGCACGTAAGTAATAATGAACTTTGTAAACATTTTACATTTACGTTTATTTTTGTTGACACATTACATTAACCTACATGAAACAAAGTCAACTTTGTGATTTATAAAAAATGTTAATTGGATATAGGATTTTCAGGTTGATTAAGAAAAATAACAAAAGACTCTTGTGAGAAAGGGAGAATTGTTTCACATTGCTTATCCTCGTGTGACTTTCTTCTGTGAAACACAGTACTGGATATTTTGAAAGATGTTTGCAACAGAGTTATGCAGTAGTAGCCTCTCACGGAGATATTTATCCAAATACATTTTGATCTACAGAAAAAAAACCTTCAAAGTGTTGAAGGTTTGGAAACTACAGAAGGGAAAGTAAATGACGACAGTTTTTCCCCGTTTCCCGTTTTGGTTCTCTGCAGCTTATTAGTGTAGAAAATAATTTTTATTATGCTCAAGCAAAAAAATCAAGTGCACAATTACGCGCAGTAAATGGAGGCATTGCATAAATGTCGATGTGGGTAGGACTTCAATGATTAACTAATAATCCAAGCCACACATTAGCAAAGGATCACTCTGGATCCCCTCCACCTAAACCCCTAAAATTGTTTCATCGGCTTTTGTATTAATGCAAATAGGGAGATAATCTGCGACTAACCAAGATTCATGACTTATATGAAGCCCACACGGAATCTGCGCGCGCAGAATTCTGCAGATTTTCCACAGATTTTCTGCAGAATTCCGCAGATTTCTAGCCCAATATTAATTCTGTTTATTTACTTAAGTAAATGTGTAAATCTGAATTTATTCAGTTTTTATTCAGTAATTTATTACTGTTTATTTCATATATTTTTGTTTTAGTTATGATACTCCGCTGGATACTCCCAAAATAATTCCGCAGAAATCCACAGATTTTTACCAAAATTCTCAGCAGAAATAGCAAAAAACATCCGCAGATTCCGTCTGGCCATATGCTTTGTTTGTCATGATCTTTACATTGAATAGTTAAACCATGAAACTACATCAACACTATGCTTCACACAACATTTCTGTCTTTGGTGTATAAAATAAATTGTGAAATTTGTAAAAATATAAATTATTTGAAACATATCAATGGCAGGGATTTTTACCAAAATTCTCAGCAGAATTAGCAAAAAACGTCCACAGATTCCGTCTGGCCCTTCTTATACAGTATGTTTTGTTTGTCATGATCTTCACATTGAATAGTTAAACTATGAAAACTACATCATCACTACGCGTCACACATTTCTGTGTTTTGTTCATAAAATAAATTGTGAAATTTGTATCAATGGCAGGGATGTGCTGTCATGATAAAAAGTGGGAACATGTCTCAACAAAACATTGGTAAACTGTGGGGGGAAACCAGAGTACCCAGAGGAAACCCATGCGAATGCAGGGAGAACATGCAAACTCCACACAGAAACGCCAGCTGAGCCGAGGATCGAACCAGCGACCCCGCGACCTTATTGCTGTAAGGCGAACGTGCTACCCACTGCGCCACTTTTAATAAATAAAGCATTTTAAGTCAAATGTGAGAATAGCTTCTTGAGCTTGCGAATAAGCTGTGATATGCAGCAATGAATGCGTGTGTGTCTTGTTATTATGATGATAAGTATGTACTTCATATCTAATCGTGTTCTGTACAACTTACACAAATTTGTAGGAGTGTGAACCTACACGGATTCGGTTAAGTTACGACTATCATGACATCGATCCGGTTTAATTTGATATCTTGGTGCATCACGGTGCACTGACGATCCTATTCATACACAATTGGATATTTTACTTAGTAACACAATAATTCTTGTATTAAAATGTATAATTTATAAATATATTTATATATTATTTGTAATACAATTTTGTCCTTTAATACAAGCAGTCAGACATGTGTACTGTTCCTTTAATTTGACCTGCTCAAAGAAAACATTTTATTGAATGCATCAAACAAAAATCAAGTACATGCACAGAACAACACAATCATATTGTCCTGCCTGCTTTTAGAGCATCATCAAGCAAGTTTCTAAATGCCTATGATTGATCACGAGCTCAACAGAAAATACCTTGATTGGCTCTAACAGTCAGCGCAGCTCTGGTGCTATTCAGCAAACAGTGACACGGACACTGATGTTAAACGACAGCTGTGATTAGCTGATCTATTAGGTTCCACGCGGTGGAGAAAACTCGCTCTGCAGACATGCTCGTGTCTAGATCCACAATTAACAATATTGTTGTTGTAACAGCTGAGAGGAGATAAAATGTTACCTTACAAACACGGCAACAGGTCAAAGGGGCCACAGAGAGGGAGAAAGTTTAGCTTTCCTTTTTTCCTAGTTGGGTTCTGATGTACTTCCCAGTCAGTAAAACACTGTCCAGCAAACTCATAAGCAGTGTATTGTGCACAGTTATCTGCTTTGTATGTAGTTGGAGTGTTTTAGATACTCACGGTCTCAATTAATTTTGACACCTTTACAAATTTAGCAAATACACTCTTTATAAGCTTACCATTGAAAAACAACTATACCTTCAATCGCTGATTAAGGGTTGTCCACTGATGTATAGTTTGTCAAGTTTACGCATGTTCTTTTTGATGTAATCTATTCGTAAACACTGAAATGTTAAAAAGTAGCAGCTCAGTGCGTCCATGTCCTGACGCTGGCTAGGTTAACCACCTTGGTAAACCAAAAATACATCTGCTTCAGGACAATGGAACTGAAGCTACAATAGTTTAAATATTTAGGTTCTGGCCTAATATACAGGTTTCTGTATTACTCTAATACAGTCAATTACTTTAGCAAAACTAATGCAAGCAGGGCACTCCTGAGGGAAAAGCTGTAAAGTGGAAAATATAGCAGCTAATCTAAGATGATCATAAGCACGTTTTTCCATCCAGCACATAGACCATTAAATCACTCTGGAACTATCAGGTACACAGTAAATCACTGACTTCACAAGCAGCATTCCTACTCACCTCTAATGGTGGCTCCAGATTCGGAGGTGGATCAGGATCTGTCCTTAAATGATCTTCAAAATCTCTGCGTATGTCTGCTGTTGGGCTGTCTATGGGGTAAAGTGGTCCTGACAGGTCTCGATGGTCTCTTGATATCCAAGGTGACCCTCCTGGCCCACCCAAATCGCCAGAACCCAAACGTGGCATGTGCCCTCTCTGCATTTCTCTATCTCTACCCAAAGCTTCCATCTCCTGCTCCAGCTCCAGCTCGGCCTCTGCTTCAGCCTCCTTGGCCTCTTTGTTGCTTTCCTCTAGGTGCTTCATGAGCACAGCGATCACCACATTGACCAGCACAAACTGAGCTGTCAGCACAAAGGACACAAAGTAAATGGGGGACACCACCGTGTTGTAGCATATACCGGTGTCTTGGGAGCAGTCTCTGAGCGTATCCTGAAACATGGACACACAGAGTGAAATTAAATTAATGCTGAATACTTTGTTAATGATCATATTTAAAGACATGCAATGCATTTACCACAAAACCATGTGCATCATTGAAATTCAACACAATGAGCTGACTGTGTCCTACCTTCATGATGCCATTCCAGTTGTCCCCGGTGGATACACGGAACAGCAGGAGGAAAGCCATGCCAAAATTCTTGAACGTGGCATAACGGCCAAGACCTTCACAGGGGTGTAGCTCATCACATACTGGCGACAAAACAAAATGCCAAAGGTAAGCCTTGGCTGGGAATGTGCAAATCTGCATATTTTCATAATAGACAAACACATCATTCTGTGTGAAAAATTGTGTGAAATACAATTAGTGTGTTCCAATATTGTATTATTATTAATGGGGTTTGCCATAGGCAAAGTCCATTCTTACTATTGTGCCTGGTTTATTATTAATGGGGTTTGCCATAGGCAAAGTCCATTCTTACTATTGTGGTTTATTAATGGGGTTTGCCATAGGCAAAGTCCATTCTTACTATTGTGGTTTATTAATGGGGTTTGCCATAGGCAAAGTCCATTCTTACTATTGTGGTTTATTATTCTTCTTCTTCTTCTTCTTCTTCCTTCTTCCGTCCTATTTTTCGGCGCGTAACTAGTCCCGCAGCTTTCGTCCCAGACCCTTGAAAGTGGGCTCAAATCGTGCGGTCTTATCGGGAATGGTGTGCTATGACTTTTATAAGGGGTGGGGGGTTTTTTGGCCCCGCAGGGGCCAAAAAACCCCCCCAAAAATCCCATAGACTTAACATTGAGCCGAACTTTGACGAATCACAGCGCCGAGTGTGAATTTCATAGAAATATGGGATTCACAGCATCTGTAGGGGGTTGCAGCCTAAGTGAGAACATACCCCGCAAGGGGGTATAAGTTGCACCCCTGGGGCTCTAGGACGTCCCAAAGTCGTCCCATTGACTTACATTGGCCCATTGACTCCCATTCATTTTTCTAGAAGAGCACTAAACGCGCCGCGAAATGGAAACACCTTTGAGGCGTTATAGCGCCAAGTGTGAAATTCGTAGAATTATGGGATTCGCAACATCTGTAGGGGGTTGCAGCCTGTATGAGAACATACCCCAAAAAGGGGTATAAGTTGTACCCTTGGGGTGCTAGGACGTCCCAAAGGGGTCCCCATTGACTTTACATGGCCCATTGACTCCCATTCATTTCTTGACTCACATGTCAATCACATTACATAGCAGTGTCATACAGACTTGGGGGTTGGCTTACTTGACTGAGGCAACCAATCAGCATCTCAATATGATTTTGAAGCTCACAAGCCACGCCCCCCAAACCATTTAAAGACCCTTAATAACTGCCCCATTGACTTAACATGGGGTGGGATGTCCCATTGCACATCCCATTGACTTCCATTATAAAGGTCACACATCTATAACATTACATAGGAGTGTCATAGAGACATGGGGGTGGGCTCATTTGACTCAGGCAACCAATCAGCATCACTCTATGATAATGAAGCTCACAAGCCACGCCCCCAAATTGATCCCATAGACTTCTATTATAACAGGGCTGGATGCATATCTTTGCTTGGCAGTGTCCTATTGACTTGTGGGATGGCTCATCTGACTCAGACAACCAATGAGCATCTCAATATGATAATGAACCTCACAAGCCACGCCCCCAAACTGGTCCCATAGACTGCCATTATAACTGGCCTACATGCATATCTTTGCTTAGCAGTGTCCTATTGGCTTGGGGGATGGCTCATCTGACTCTGACAACCAATCAGCATCTCAATATGATAATGAATCTCACAAGCCACGCCCCCAAACTGGTCCCATAGACTGCCATTATAACTGGCCTACATGCATATCTTTGCTTAGCAGTGTCCTATTGACTTGGGGGATGGCTCATCTGACTCAGACAACCAATCAGCATCTCAATATGATAATGAATCTCACAAGCCACGCCCCCAAACTGGTCCCATAGACTGCCATTATAACTGGCCTACATGCATATCTTTGCTTAGCAGTGTCCTATTGACTTGGGGGTTGGCTCATTTGACTTGGACAGCCAACCACATTCAAGTTCACTCTGTAACCTCGCCCATAGCAACAAAAGAGAGTACCCTAGCAACCGTTCATCAACAGCTATATCTCAGCATCGGAACATCGTAGAGACTTGGGGATTGGCTCGTTTGACTCATGCTAGCAAACGGAACTTCCTATATGCTACACATGCTAGCAGTGACTAGCTACATGCTAATATTGACTAGCCATGTACTGTAACTTGCTAGAAATGCTCACTAAGTATAAATATTTCATCAGGCATGTATGTGAGGCTTGCCTAGTAACCACCCAGGGTACCCTAGCAACTGCCAAGTAACCGCCCAAATTACCCTAGCAACCGCCTAGCAACCACCTAGCAACCGCCTAGTAACGCCTTAGTAAGGGCCTAGCGACCACTCAGGACACCCTAGCAACCGCCTAGCAACGCCTTAGCAACCACTTAGAATACCCTAGCAACCACCTAGCAACACCTTAGCAACCACTTAGGACACCTTAGCAACCGCCTAGCAACACCCTAGCAACCACTCAGAACACCCTAGCAACCGCCTAGCAACCACTCAGAACACCCTAGCAACCACCTAGCAACACCTTAGCAACCACCTAGCAACCACCCAGGACACCCTTTCAACCGCCTAGCAACGCCTTAGCAACCACTCAGAATACCCTAGCAACCACCTAGCAACACCTTAGCAACCACCTAGCAACCACTTAGGACACCTTAGCAACCGCCTAGCAACACCTTAGCAACCACCTAGCAACCACTCAGAACACCCTAGCAACCACCTAGAAACACTTTAGCAACCACCTAGCAACCACTCAGGACACCCTAGCAACCACCTAGCAACACCTTAGCAACCACCTAGCAACCACCCAGGACACCCTAGCAACCGCCTAGCAACGCCTTAGCAACCACTCAGAATACCCTAGCAACCACCTAGCAACACCTTAGCAACCACCTAGCAACCACTCAGGACACCCTAGCAACCGCCTAGCAACATCTTAGCAACCACCATTTCTTACCTTTCCAGTGCTATTGCCCAATTTAGTACCATTTTGTACCCCATCGATTTGCCACGCAAACCCCATTCACATTTCCTTTAGGAAATGTACAATTCTAGTTATTATTATTATTATTATTATATGTGGGTATGTATATTTTCTGGAGTGTCTTATGCATGCTTTTGGTAAGAAAGGCTAGTATGGCCATATGGGAAACCTTAATATTTCTCATAAGTATACAGTACAAAAAAGGGTTGATATTGAATGGCTTGACAATGTTTAAAAACATTTCCCAGACTCATAAGCCCAAGCAATCTTCATTCAAATGAGCTCAGGCAGCTCTTTTGATCTTGGCATCATGATACTATCAACATCAGTGCAATGAACAAACTAGACCTGTAGCCCTAAGCAGATTGTAAAGATCTTTGGCATTCTTGCCCAGTCTTATACTAAATAAGGCTTATCTAAAATATAAGGGTGGACTTATTATTTTGCACCTGATTTCAGTTTTACTTGAAATATTTCTTCTTTTAGTTGTCGCCCCAAAAGTCACCACAAAAAGAGCTGCCAGATCCGGATTGTTCCAGCACAAATTAAGCCCTGATAATACATTTGTATAAAGTTGAAGGATTCTCAACTTTGGTGAGTCGATGGACTCGCATCTGTCCCTTCTGTTGCATAAATAATAATCATAATCATTTCTGATCATAAATGATACAGAATTATGATGCTCACTGCATGTTGCTAGTAGTGAATGCAGCAAGAATACAAACATTTAACATTTAAATGTTATTATTTACTCATTTTAATGTTATGTACACCCTCTCTATGAGGCAACCTTTAATGAGAGGCTGAAACAGTCAAAAAAAAAGTATGGTTTACTGTTTAGAGTTTTTTTTTTTTTTTGCTGGTACTCCAAGGAAGAGATTTATCTAAAAAAACTTTGAAGATTAAGAAGATTGTAGTTAGTTTGAAGAGTAGGAAGTCAGCTTCAGAGTGTGCTTATTGTATTTGTATGTAAATGCAGCAGTAGGCAATGGCAGTGTTTTATTTGAACAATTTTATTAACTTACCAAGTGTTAAGTGTTGTTTATTGCTTAGCATTACGAAACAATTAAAATAAATCTGATTCTCTGATGTCCAAATCCAAAAGACCAAATGGCCATTGCTTTACCATACAGTATGTTTTTATTGATGTTTATAATAGATTTTTTTTCCAGTTCATGAGGACTGCCCTATAAGAACTGTGTCCTTTATCAGACAAACTTTATTCTAATGAAATTACTCTAAGCCCAGTGACAATGCTTCCATACCCATTGTGGACATTCTGACAATGGAAATGGGTCACCATAGTCAATCTGCTTAGCTACACAGCCCCGTATCCAGCAGAGTGTGATGCAACATGTTTGTTACAAGTTGAGTGTGACATATGCCAATATAGAACTCCTGTTGGCTCAGAGCAGACCAAATAGCCTTAGTTGCCCTTTTGCATTAATGAGCGTTTGGTATCCAGTGTTATTTTTTTTTTAATCTTTCTTTCATAATTTTGAATGGAAGCAACCCACAGGTCTTGCAGTTTTAGAGATACCTAGCCAATGTCAAAGCAACCCTGCCTATTTTCCCTTGCTTACCATTAAATCTACCCAGGGCTTAATACTGTAGGTGGCCGTATTAAGACATTATAAACAATACTGATTAAACTTTTACTGGTCATAATCTTTTGGCTTATCACACAAACATTTCATGTGATTATTTATTTATTTTATTTTTTTGTTATTTATCAACCAGTCAACAATCCTGACCGATCCTTAGTTGGGACTACACAGAAAAAAAAGTTTGCCCTGCAGACAGTCAATCTCAGTTCAGCCAGCAGACTCCATATATTGAACTTGGACAGCATTGTAAAGCTGGATATGAATTATGAAGTCTCTATGTTTATCTTGAGCCGGCTGATTGGAAATGGAAATGACATCAACACCGGTATTGTGCTGAGCTGCAATGAATCAGGGCAGGCTGTATTCGGTAAACTGGGGCCAAATGTGCTGCCACGTATTTCTGGAGAAAATCTGCTGCAGGTATACTATATTTATGGTTTTTGCCTTTACAGACAAGGTTGGAAAATGCTCAAAAATATGTGAAAGTGATCTGACAGCAATTCTAAACAAATAAACTATAATAAATCAAGCATTTGAAAACAAACATGCATTATTGGAGGATTAGAGGGTTATGACATGAGTGACATAAATGGAATAAATCAATAAATCAAGGGTTTTCAAGATTTTCCAAACTGACTTAATGAATTGAGAGCAAACTCTACAAATTTCTGCATTTAAGTTTGGCCTGTACTAATGTGTGAATAGACTTGGTTGATTTTAACATGGTACAGTACATTTTGGCTTCTAACATTTGGTTTTAAATTCAACGTCATGTTGTGTTTTTGAAACAAAATATACAGTACATTTATGTTTTCTACAAAAATAACTTAATTGTGTGCCTGCAATAGTGTCACTGACCCCTAGGGAATGTAAATCATTGTAAAAGATGTTTTAAATATAACCTAGGGAAGGGAAAGCCCTGAGAATTGCATAGATGCATGTTTTTGAGTCTGAGTGAATTAGACCATGAGGAGAAATGATTCTTATTTGCTTACCTCTGTGTGTGTGTGTGTGTGTGTGTGTGTGTGTGTGTGTGTGTGTGTGTGTGTGTGTGTGTGTGTGTGTGTGTGTGTGTGTGTGTGTGTGTGTGTGTGTGTGTTTGGTTTGCTGTGCTTACTCAGGTCACCAAACAGCTCTACTCCCAGAGCAGCAAAGATGAAGAAAAGCAACATGAAGAGAAGACCCAGATTCCCCACCTGTTGAGAAATAGAGAAAGCCAGGAGAGTTTGTCATGGAGGCAAAGAGAAGTGACAGGGCAGACCTAGAAATACCACCTGTGAAAAGCCAATAAAAGAGAGCCCTGAAGTGAGAAGATGACAGCCGTGTTCCACCTGATTACAGCTTGCCAGGTTTGTAAACCTAAAAAACTCATACTATGCCGAAGTTGTGGTATACTGTAGCAGTAGGCACCCACATGCTAGCGGTTAGTGCACAAGCTCCAGACATGTTTTGGACAACTTGTATTCTGATCCCATTCCCATTTTTTCTGAATCAGTAAGAAGTGGAAATAAAGGACACAAATTAAATTGGTATTTATTTTTTTATGTTCTTGGGCATATTTGACTTAATATAATGGATAAAATTCACATTTTCTGATTAAACTAAATAAGAAATAAATTAATTTGAAATAATTTAAGTAATTTCATTACCTTTATTTCAGTGGACATTTATTTCACCACATCATTCCTCAAGAGGCAGATTGTGGAATTCATGAATAAATAATATATGCAAATGTTAAAATGATTTTTTTTCAAAATAGATAATATATTAATAAAAATCCTAAGTAATTTTTTTATTTAAAAATAATATCAAATATAAATAATATTTACAATTAATCAATTTCACTTATACATGTTATTTTAATTTATTATATAAGTAGCATGTTATTATTAATATTAATATATATATATATATATATATATATAGTGAAAATGTGACTAATTGAAAGTATCGTATCTAATAATACATACAGTGGGGTAAATAAGTATTGAACACGTCACCATTTTTCTCAGAAAACATATTTCTAAAGGTGCTGTTGACTTGAATTTTTTACCAGATGTTGCTAACAACCAAAGAAATCCATATATACAAAGAAAAAAAATATTAGTTTACAAATTAGGTTATGTGTAATAAAATGAAACGACGCAGGGACAAAGTATTAAACACATGGAGAAAGGGAAGTGTAGAAAGGCAGTAAAAGTCCAGACAGCAGCTGAAATCTCTTAGTAGCTATTCAGCAACCCTCTGCCCTTCAACCTTGTAAATTAATATCAGCCACTTCAGTCTAACATCTACATTACCAGGATAATGAAGATGACATCAGGGTGGACATTTCAGCAAGACAATGATCCAAAACACAGCTAAGAAAACTCTCAAATGATTTCAGAAAAAGAAAATCAAGCTGTAGAATTGCCCAGCCAATCGTCTGACTTGAATTCGATAGAAATCCAAAATAAAGATCACTTCATAATAAAGAACCATAGACCCTGTTGAAGTGAAACTGTTGAAGTCGTGAAAAAAAAAAATCACAACTGAGCAAAGGATTTAACTCCATTCTCTATATAAGAGGTGTCTTTAAGCTGCCATCACCAAAAAAGCCTTTTACAAAAAATATTTAGCTAATTTCAGTAGATCAGTACTTTCTTCTTGTGTCATTTCACTGTTATTACTCATAACAATTTTTTCAACAGCTTCTTTAGAAATATTATTTCCAGTAAAAAAATAAAAATAAAAAAACATGACGTATCTAATACTTATTCCCCCGCTGTATTTACTGAATAGAAAATAGACCATCACGTGTAGTCTAACTCTAATCAAGCGTTGTCTACTGTAAGATATTTGTTCACTTTAGTAAATGTCATAGTGTAAAATATATCACGTAATAACAATAAGCTATATTGAGTGGTTCCTACTGTTATGCAGTCTATTGTACATCATTATTATTGATTGATATTATTGCAATTAAGACAAATGAAGGGCTCATCTACAGCCATTAAGAGAAATCAAGCCAAACTTATTCAGGAATCACAGATGACCAAGTCAGGCTTACATTTTTACAAAAAAAAAAAAAAAAAAAAAAGAAAGGAAGAAAGGGAATCAGATCAGATACTTTGACAAAACGAGTTGCACTGACATTTCTTTCTCCAAGTCTGGCTCTTTTCCCACACTAATCTCTCTTTAAGTGCACTCTTCACAGGCTGGATTCACAGTGATTCAGGACACGGGGATCAAACAGACACAATCTGGCAGGAAATCTTAGAACACTGCTGCACATCACCTCACACAAATTGAGGAGGAATAGATCAATAGACCAGAACCATGGAAAGCAACTTTAAGTCAGAACACTGCGGGGTGAATAGGGTTTTTGAAAAATCCTCATAATAAGTTGAAAGATTATATTAAGAATTGTAAAAAGTATTTTGTAAAATATTGTAACATGAGGAAATCAAATATTATTTCAGTAAATATGCACTAATTTGCATATAATTCTAGTACAAATGCTGTCTTTACATTAGACTGAAAACAAAAAAATAACACTTTAATATAATCTAAAATATCTATATTTTTACATTGTTTTTACCATAAAAAAAAGGTGAAACAGTAAAAATGCTACAGTAGGAGCCATGTCAGAGATTAGGTGACGGGTAAGCAGGCTCTAATCCAATTAGTAAAAAGTAAAACTGTATGTAAAAGCATCAGTCTCCACACCATCAGTCTTCACACATACAATCGAAGAATGTGCATGCTGGAGATTTTCTCCTCTGGCTTCTGTCAGGTTTGCACTACTGTAACCTCTTCATGGCAGATTGACGGTGTAAATGAGGCCTGTGGAGAGCCGAGGGGCCGCAGGGTACAAATACCCTGGAGCTCTCTCTCTCCATAAAGTAAATGAGTGGAGTTCAGGACTTAGAAAAAGACACCTACTGACGTTTTTTGGCATACCTGAGGAAGGGCCTGCATCACAGTGTCTAGTAGAGCTCGCATTCCCACCGCCATCTTCAGTAGCTTTAGAACTGAAAAGGACAGGACAACAAGCTTGCAAACATGAGGTGTATACAGGATATAAAGGGATGCTATTTAAAGTTGCCCTATCGGGTTCTTAAACAAAACTCAGTTTAGATTAGACAGATCTAAAATAGTTCCAATATACAGTTGAAGTCAGAATTTTTAGGCCCTTTTGATTTTTTTTCTTTTTTAATATTTCCCAAATGATTTTTAACAGAGCAAGGAAATTTTCACAGAATTTCTGATACTATTTTTTTCTTCTGGAGGAAGTCTTGTTTTTTTTTTAGAGTTAGAATAAAAACAGTTAAAAAAAAATTTATGAACCACGACTGTCTACAGAACAAACCAGCATTATTCAATACCTTGCCTAATTACCCTGCCTAGTTAACCTAATTAACCTTGTTAAGCCTTTAAATGTTATTTTAAGCTGTATAGAAGTGTCTTGAAACATATCTAGTCAAATACTACTTACTATTATTGTGGCAAAGATAAAATAAATCAGTTATTAGAAATGAGTTATTAAAACTGTTTAGAAATATGTTGAAAAAATCTTCCCTCCGTTAAACAGAAATTGTGGAAAAAAAAACTAAAGTAATTTAAATTCTACAAGTGAGATGTATTATTAAAATATAGTTGAAGTCAAAATTATTATTAAGTTTTAAACGTTTATTTATGTGCTTTCTGCATTTTAAAAAACTTTTTATTTTTTACAAACTGTAATATTTTACAGTTTTAAATCAAATTAATAAATTGTTTATTACTATTTTAATGTTTTTATAATTTTACACATTAAAAAATCAATAAATAAATAATATATATATATATATATATATATATATATATATATATATATATATATATATATATATATATATATATATATATATATATATATATACCAATATCACTAATGAGTTTAGTATATTTTACAATTATATTTTATTTATGTGCTTTCTGCATTTTATAAAACTACAACAAAATATAGAAGAAAGAAAAACAAAACAATACAATAATACATAAATACAATACACAAAAACACTAATCTTATGACAGAACAACCAAACAACAGAACAGAGGGACAAATGCACATGAAAGCAAAATATAATTTAGCTGGTGAGGTAATGCATAAATAAAAGCAATTATAAAGTAACATTTTTCTTATATTACCAGAAAAATACATTAACCTGACCGTAGTTTTTTTGTCAAATAATAGTTTGGGCATATTATTAAAAACATTATAGATTATGAATAGTGAATATCCATTAAACTCAATCAAAACAATTACTTTTGTCGTATCAAATGTCTACAGTTTATCGGTCAAAATTATTAACCCTCCTTAAATATTTCCCAAATGATGTTTAACAGAGAAAGGATTTTTTCACAGCATTTGCTATAAAAAAATTTAAGGTCAATATTATTAACCCCCTTAAACAATATTTTTTTCAATAGTCTACAGAACAAACCATTGTTATACAATAACATGCCTAATTACCCTAACTTGCCTAATTAACCTTGAGCCTTTAAATTGCACTTTAAGTGTATTTTTATAGTAGTATTTAAAGAATTATCTAGTACAATATTATATGGCAAATTATTACCATAAAAAATGTTAAATTATTATTACTATAAATTAGTAAAATTGACTTGAACTGTATATATGTCATCAATTTTAAGATTTGCTATTAAAAAGATGGAAAATAATAAAGTAATTATATATTAAAATATAAAGCTTGCTGAAATGACATTTTTTACATTAATGAACACATATTTGAAAATGTAACATTGATGCAATTGTGTGAAACAGAAATAGTGTATAACTTTAGAAATGTCTAAATAAAAATGGTTGTCTTAAATCTACATAATCTTAATCTCGGTTCATAGCCAATACAACCTGTATAAAATGTTCAAAGTAAATCTATCTAAAAATATCACCAAAGTTTTCCTATAATTGCACTTAATAACTTATATAAGTATCCTGCACTTTCTGCTATTGCACTCCTGGTTAGATCTAAACTGTATTTGTATTTGTACTTGTACATGTGGAATGACAATAAAGTTTAATCTAATCTAATCTAATCTAATCTAATCAATAATTTTGATATGTCAAATTAAAAAAAATATATATTATTCAAATCTTGACAAATCTGGCCTTCAAAACAATGCTGTGACTCTTTTTATTAAAGCAATAAATGTGCACACAATAAGCAGTGTTCCTGTAAAAACAGCCAGTGGAATTTGTTTTGTAATTTTCACAGTGGTCAGATCACGAAGCATGTTATTATTGGGGTCATGCTCCACACACACACTGCTTAAATGATGCTCATGAGGAGGAGAAGCCCCTCTGCTTAATTGCAATCATGGCCCTGAGTGGAGAATGTCTGTGACTTTCATTATGCTAATGTTTGTAATGTATTCACTACCATTCAAAGGTATGGTGTATAACACTATTTTTAAGCCATATCAAACTTTAAAACTGTTTATTTAGGCTGGACTTATCTTATAATACATGTTTCTATATTTTGAAAAATATTCATAATATTATTTTAGTTAGCAGTCTTAAATTGTAATAATTTTTTTACAAACTGTAATATTTTACAGTTTTAAATCAAATTAATAAATTGTTTATTACTATTTTAATGTTTTTATAATTTTACAAATTAAAAAAATAAATAAATTATATATATATATATATATATATATATATATATATATATTTACCAATATCACTAATGAGTTTAGTATATTTTACAATGTAATAATTTATATATATGATAATATGGCAGTGGCATAATGAAAGTCAAAAGCATCAGCCACTCACAATCATGATTGCAGTTAAGCAAAGTCTGAATGAATCCAGGAGGCTGAATTCAAAACACACACACATACAGTAAACACACACACCTGATGAGAACACAGACATCTGAGCAGGTGTGTTTGCTTGGCCATCTCTGCTGAGGGAATAATCAATAAAGACTCTCCCAGCAGCTCTTTCATTAGAGGAAGAAAAATCGGTCCAAGAAGGCAAGCATGTGTGTGTTATGTGTAAGAAATAAGTAGAGAAGAGAATTTCTCATTCCAGCCATCTGGACTCTTTCTCCACAGACTCCGGCTTCTGCTGAGCAGTGTGTGAAACAACAGAGTTCCCGAGGGTGACAAACACAAGCGGTTCTGATCTACTGAGGCGAGCAGGGAAAAAAAATTGATGCAGAGAAGACAAACCTCGAGTGATGCGCAACACCCTCATGATGCGAATGATTGTAGGGTTGATGGGAAGGGAAGCATTGACCTCGATTTCCTCCAGTGTTATGCCCATGATAGACAACAAAACAATGGCCAGATCCAACTGGTTCCATCTGTGTGAAGACACTTGATAAGTAAAAAAATATGCACTATTTTTTCTTAGTTCTAACGTTGAACAATTGCATAGTATTTTTCAATTTTTTTATTTGTATTTTTTTTATTTAAAGACATAGTTGAAACAAAAATTATAAAAAGTGTCAACATTTACTCATTCTTCACTTCCAAACTTGTTTGAATTTCCTTTCTCTTAATACAAAAAAATAATCTTTTGTAGACACTGACTTTTGTCTAATATTGATGTCAATGCTTATGGTATACTGTATACGGTTGAAGTCAGAATTATTAGCCCCCCTGAAATATTAGCCCCTTGTATATTTTTCCCCACAATTTTTCAATAACTCATTTCTAATAACTTATTTATTTTATCTTTGTCGTGATGAAAGTACATTTTATTTGACTAGATGTTTTTCAAGACACTTCTATACAGCTTAAAGTGATATTTAAAGGCTTAACTAGGTTAATTAGGTTAACTAGGCATGTAAGGGTAATTAGGCAAAGTATTGTATAATGCTGGTATCAAAACACTGGATATAAGGATCAAGAGATATAAACCTGCATATAGTTTAAAGAGGCTAATAATTTTGACCTTTAAATGTTTTTTTTCTTTTTAATATTAAAACTGTTTTTATTCTAGCTGAAATAAAAGAAATAGAAATATAAGTTAAATATTTGGGAAATATTTCAAAAAAGAAACTTAAAAAAATCAAAGGGGGGCTAATAGTTTTGACTTCAACTGTATACAGTTAAAGCCAGAATTCTTAAGCAATTTGCAGGTTTATATCTCTTGATTCTTATATGCAATGTTTTAATAGTCTACATTATATAATAGTCTTATTTGTTTTATTTCAGCTAAAATAAAAGCAGATTTAAATTTTTCTAAAAGCCATTTTAATGTCAATATTATTAGCCCCTTAAAGCTATAGGTTTTTTTAAGTCTACAGAACAAACCATCATTATATAATAACTTGCCTAAATACCTTAACCTGCCAAGTTAACCTAAGTAACTCAGTTAAGCCTTTTAATGACACTTTAGGCTGTATAGAAGCGTCTTGAAAAATATCTAGTCAAATATTATTTACTGTCATCATGGCAAAGATAAAATAACTCAGTTATTAGAAATGAGTTATTAAAACTATTATGTTTAGAAATGTGTTAAAAAAATATTTTCTTTGTTAAACAGAAATTGGGGAGCCCTGGCACTAGTCCTTTTTTGTGTTTAAAAAAAAAGGAATTCAAAGAGGTTTGGAACAAGTGAAGGGTGAGTAATTGGTGACAAAATTTCATTTTTGGGTGAACTATGCCTTTAAAAGCATTAAAAAAAACACTAAGCAATTGTCCAATGCTAATTTTTTAAATCACCAAACTGCACAAGGACTAAAAGTTAATAAAGAATCCCTTAACAACAGCAGTCACAGTTTGAAACTCAATTTCAGCAGGCAAAATATGGAAGCAATAAAAATCTGAAATGATCTAAGAAACCTAATTTTGTGAGAATAACACTAATTTGACCCTGGATGTTCCTGCTATGTTCTCAGCATGTTCATTCTCAAAAGATGGCTTCAAACTTTGCGGCTAACTTTAAATAACTTCCTCTGAGGGTCAAATATAGCACTGTCATGGGTGAAGTAGAGCCTAGAGCCAGTTTTAAGTCACCTCAATTTTCTGGGGCCCGTAGCCATCAGAGGCGTTTCATTAGATATCTGGGCAAATTGAAGTCAAATGATTCCACAAAGCATTTCTACATTTTTACCACCGACTGTGTTCACTAAGAGGTTCAGTGATCAAAGTACACCTCCATCCTTCATCCCTGTAGACATGGAGCTGCTGCATGAAAGAACTAATCAAAGTAATAGAAAGACATTTCCAATGGTGAAAATCAATAACAGTCTTAGTTTAAACTCTTAATCCTGTACTTCTTGAACAGACTTCAGAAATGTAATATAATATATAATAATATTTAACATATTATAAGTTAAAATATAATTCAGACTAAATTATATCAGCCTGATTTTGGCAAATCTGTTTGATTTAGTTCATTTGTAAACATCAAAAGGCATCAGTATGCAATAATTGATTGTATTACTGTACTGTATCTCAAACATGATATACTAAGTGTGCCAATATTGCTGACAACCAACCCTGTAATGCTTAATGAAATCCCTTTATTTCCAGTTCTCTATGGCTAGTTCAATCACATGTAACAACGAATGATGAAAAAGATTTTTTTTTTACATAGTTTATATTATTAGAATACCTTTCTACACAGCCCAACACAAACAACTTAATTAGTTCTGTTGTATGAAGACCTGGCTTCCGAAAACTAAATATGTTGTGATTGGTTAGCTGTGTGTCAGTGCATTGCGATTTGACAGCAGTAGATGGCATTTCAGTACTACCACACCCCATGCCCAAGCAACAAATCTAACTAATATGGCTGTGTATGTCAGCTATCAGAGAACTACCAATGTGATCATTAAAGGTTGACAAAACCCTTGAGTACTTTTTTTGAGATTTTAACAGATTTGTGTGTGTTGAGCATCAGTTAAGACAATGTTAGCACTTGTCAGCTGTAATTGTTGGGAAAACTGGATAATTTTGAGCTTTTGTCAGCTAATTCAAGCTTCCGTGTTTAAAATGATTTTTGGGGCGGGATCAAAATCGGCGACGTATTGCAGAAATGCAAGTGAAAAAATAATGCGTCGGTTTCACATTATTATTCATATCAGAGTTTTCTTATCCTATGAGAAGAGCCTGCTTCTTAATTATTTATGACTGCACATGCTTTCTGAAGGCCAGGCACACCTGTCAAAATCACATTCATCCACAACTCTTGACTATTTTTTGACCTAATTCAGACTTTTTGTCTTAGCATCAAGAAAAAAAATCCTGCACTTGTACATTTGAAAGTCCAATTTGAAGTTTTTCTAACAACTGTCAGTTTGCATTTTGACTTTATGTTGTGCAATTGCTCAAAACTAAAGTGTGGGATAAAACTGAGGCATCTACTTTTATCTAGAAGCTAATTTCTACCAAGAAATAAAAATCTCTCTATTTAAAAGAAAATATTTCTACTTCAAAACTTCCCATTTAATTTAATCAGTTGCTTACAATTTATTGGAAATTGCTAGTAAATATCACAATTCTGAAGTGTAACAATTCTGCTAATCTTTTCCCTAGTTTCAACCAATGGAAGCTCTTTGCTGAGGGATTTGCTTTAAAATCATATCAATTATGCCATGTCAAACTTCTTATTAGTATGCAAATAGCTGTTTTACATTTCCCAACACGTGGATTAGGGATCTCAAAATACATTGACATGAATTGCTCTTCATTACGCCATTAAAAGAACTTCATTTGGTCTATCAACTTCAGTAAAGGGCCTAATCCTCATATTGAGTGATAATTCAAGACTAATTAAAGGAGAAATGGATCATTCAAATTCCATATATAGAGAATATGTGTGAGTACATGTGCATATTAAAGCTGTAATGTCAGACATGTATCAGTTATCACTAATTTAAAAGAAATAAATGTCATTGATTATGCATTCTTATTGTTTAAGCCCCAGGGAGAGTGATTTAGAAGGGTTTCTTTTACCAAAACCACACGGATATAAATTTGGTTCTTGTTTTCCACCACAGACGCCAGAGCATTCAGTCGTCAATGTGCTTCTGACAGTCTGTGGCAAACCAAAGAATCTCAAAGCTGTGATATCATTTCAAAGGATGTGGCTTTAGGACTGCTAAGAAAACCTTTTCACTCACTCACCCATACACACACACACACACACACACACACACACACACACACACACACACACACACACACACACAAAATCACAATAGAACCACTGAAGTATCTATGAGAATGGCTTTTTAGCATAGTTGGTTTGGATTTTGCTGTAACTTGTGAGAAGGTCATGTCTACTACCTGTCCTTGAAGAAGCGGCGAAATCCAAAAGCAACAAGTTTGAAGATGGACTCCAGCACAAATATGACTGTGAAGATGTAGTTACAGATCTTTAGGGAATCGCTCAAAACCTGTTCAAGAGAATGCAACAGTAAAAGTACAGAAGTGACAAAGCTTACAGCAAGCATATATCAACCACTTCAGAACAATAAATCAATTACAAAAACTGTAGTCTATGAATGGCTGAACAACACGCCCTAAGCAGATTTTGTTCATCAGTGGAAAAGATGGAGAGTTATTGAAAGAGGCTAGATAAGCAGAGGGTAATTGCTTATAATTATCTGTCATTCAGATTTTGACAGTGAGTGAACATTGACAGAGAACTGGCCTTCTCTCACCCAGCACAGTAATTAAGGGCAGGCTAACTGTGATGATGCTTAAGAAAATCAATTGATTCTGTTGACGGAGTGAGCGTGTAAGTGGTCAAAGCCTAACAATCCTCTTTGCTCCACTTCCTCCAAGATTGTGTGGGCCACCGAGGCTCTAATTAAAACAGATTGCTATTTTTAGCTTGAGGTGAGGTTACAGACCTCCATTAATGATGGGTGAAAACCCTGAAAAACATCCTTATGTAGTTGACTGATGATGGGGATAATAAACACAGATTTTGATATGACCACAGATAAGATACAAAACTATTAAATAAAATTTTGATTGGAGAAGATATAAGCCTTTTTTTGCTATTTCTGTAGAGAATTTTGTAAAGAATCTGCAGATTTATTCAGAATTATTTTGGGAGTATAGTAACTAAAAGCTTAATATATGAATTCAAAAAATGTTAAAAGTAATAAAATAAGCTTTTAAACTTTTATTTAATGGTTACAATGCATATCCATCTAGATCCACTTATTTGGTAAACAAAGCAAGTATATATCATATAATATATCTACTAAAAGACAGAAAATATTACTTTACAACCCTTATTGCAAATAAATCAAATGCACACTTTCATATTAGTCGAAATTATTAATAAAATGAATAAAAAAATTAATAAATATAAATTTACACACATTTACACAATTAAATAAATAGACTAAATGATGGGCTAAAAATCTGCTGAAATCTGAAAGATTCTGTGTGGTCCTACTACTACCAACTAACTAACTAACTAACTAACTAACTAACTAACTAACTAACTAACTAACTAACTAACTAACTATTTATTCATTTATTTGTTTATTTATTTATTTATCATGCCGACCTTGTTTTTATAAATATTTACTATTTTAACTGTACAATATATTATGCTACTTATATTATGTACAGCTATAAAAACAATTCGAAAAAAATTTGATATTATAATTTACAGTATTTGAGTAAATTAAAAACATATATATTCAGTAATTAGAGTTGAAATAACTTCCGAATATAGAAAAAACATGTTGTCACTTAGAGAAATTGTTGCATTAAATAAAATGGTGGGATGTGTTTTTAGAGTTTAAATTCAATATTAATGTTTTAACAACAATAACAGTGTTTGTTTAAATATGTTTAATTAAATACAAAAGTAAATGTTGGAATAGCAGATTTTAATTTATTTTATTTTGTATTTGAAAATTGGAATAAAATTATACCACACCTATAGAACAGCACACTTGACTCAAACTGTAAATACTTAATAAATGTAGTAAATTAAATCTAATACTAATCTAATACTTTAATAAAAAATCAGCTTTTATATAAACAATATCCGAAAACATATATAATATATAAAAGAATAGAAATATTAGAATTATAATAGAGATATTTAATCGAAACAATATTTCACAATAAATTATACAGATTTTTTTTTACTTGCCTTAAATATTTAAATTAAATAATAAATTATTTTTTTTTATTCCTTTTTAAAATAACTTAGCTACATGTGCCTTTAAAAATAACTACAGAATTATTAAAGTATAGAAGTATTTTGCTAGCAAAAATACCTTTGTTCTTTTCTACCTTTTTTTTTTTACTCTTTACAACTCAGCGATGTACAGAAATTCTGTCTAAACTCCCAGAGCTTGTCTGCGAACTCATATTATTGTTTTAGTCCTCTATTGAATATTCAAAAATTGTCTCTGTAGTGTCATGTGGGAATATGCATTCATTTCAGTGTGTACACTACACTGTGGTTTATTTTGGTGAGACATTGCTCTCATAAGAATTCGTTACACAGGCAACTGTATAACATGTATCGGAGCAGCACAATGAGAGAGCAAATAAAGCATAATAAATAAAGCAAAACTATATTCTCACCATAATATAATCAAAAGACAGTACAGACAAAAAAGTGTATAAACATTAACTGCCTAATCAGCAAATATTTTGCAGAGCCACAATGTGAAAAAGGGAAAGATGAATGTACATCAACATTGTTTGAAGAACCAGAGAGTTCATTTTCTTAAAGCAAGACACCACAGGAGAAAAGCTGTAATGCACCTCAATATTAAAACCCCAAGTTCTGTTATATATATATAATATTTTAGAAGAATATACTTTTGCCTAATTTGGCTGCTTTTAAACAACATTTCTATTAACAAAAATGCATTTTTTTTGCCTATACATGATTTTCTTGATAGAAATAGATTCCCAAAATCAGCTCAGTAAAACTTGTTCACAGTAAAGACTCCAAAAAGTCACAAAAGGCTTTTAAAAATTCATAATAAGTGTGAACCTGAAAATTAACCTTAACTTAGAAAAGTAAAGTTCGTAGACAAACTTTATGGTGGCTTGAGAAAGCCTAGTCTAAAATTTGAAGTTTAAATCATTGAAATATTTTTAAGAAGTTTGATCAGATGGCATAGATAAAGACATATATGTTAGCATGTTTCTAGGATGAATCTGCATGTTTCTTGCTAGTTGGTGGATAGGAGATTCTGAATGTTTGCTATGGTGTTGCTAAATAGTTGCTAGAGCGTTCTGAATGGTTGCTAAGGCATTGCTAAGGTGTTCTGAGTGGTTGCTAAAGTGTTGCTAAGTGGTTGCTGGAATGTTTTGAGTGGTTGCTAGGCAGTTGCTAAGGCATTGCTAGGTGGTTGCTAAGGTGTTGCTAGGGTTTTCTGAGTGGTTGCTAGGTGGTTGCTAAGGCGTTATTAGGTGGTTGCTAAGGTGTTGATATGGAGTTGCTAGGCGCATACTAGGGTGTTCTGAGTAGTTGCTAGGCGGTTGCTAACATAAATTAGCATGGTTCTAGTATGAATTAGCATGCTGCTAGCATTTTTCTAGTATAAACTATCAGGTTGTTAGCATTTTGTATGACTTAGCCTGTTGCTAGTATATTTATAGTATTAATTAGCATGCTGCTAGTATGAATAGTATGTTTGAACAAAATTAATTAGTATGTTTCTAGTATGAAGTTGTATGTTGTTCAATCACAGTTTTTTTTTTACAATTGAAGTCTATGGGACAGTTGCTAGGGTGCTGTCAGTGGTTGCTAGGGTGTGGCTAGAAAGTCAAAAGTTTGTCAGTTATTTGCAGATTGGTAGTTTGAGTTAAAAGAGCACAACTGTAGGCCTTTATGACAGCCTGGTGCAAAGTTATCAGGTCACAAAGTTTGGTGTAATGTTAAGTCAACAGAAATTTTCTGAAATTTCCAGGTCAGATTTTGGAAAACCGTATGCTGGAAAAATAAAGCAACTTAATTCAGTATAGTTTAGAGGTTTGAGTAAGTTTGGTGGTTGTAGTATGAATGGACTATGAGAAGATGCGTTTTTAAAATCGTCTAAGACGGAAGAATAATAGGTTTATGTAGTATAACAGTATGTTAGCTTTCTTAAGCCACCATAATTATCCATTTGTTAAGAGTGACGTCATGTGAAGCGGCTTCCGGGTCCAAGTGCAACATCAAACTATATGGGAAGACTCATCAAATGGTTATATAAACTACAAAGCGATGTAATACTTTCGAAAATCACAATCGCAATGTATATGTTATGTATATAATTAGTGCAATGTTGCAAGTTTGTATGTAACCAATCAACAGGGAAAGTGTGGTGCAAATGATTAGCTTATTGTTTATTTTATTTTTATCCTATCCACACTGCAGTGTCTTGCTTTACTGAAATATGATTTCACTGCATGATCTGCATTATCACTGCTGGCTTTCCAAGAAGTGCTACCTTTGGTTGGTGGTAGTGCTCCATAGACATGGTGATGACATTGAGGGCGATGACGATGGTGATGAACAGGTCCAGATACTGGCTCTTGCACATGTTGTAGATGAGACGTCGTGTTGGGCAGTAATCGGAGTAAAAGGGTTTACTCTGGGCTTCTGAAGAATCATGGGAACATGGAGGAAGCATGAAAGAACCATACTGAAACAAACATTTCGTACACACTCATCCTCACACCGAGAACAAGAAGAGGAAAGGGAAAGAACCAGTGGACAAGAGAAGACGCTAAGAGACAGAATGTGTTGTATGTGTAAAAGTTCACCCAGAAATGAAAATTTATAGATGTGTCCCCTTTAGTTTTTCCAAACCAATTTGAACAGACAGAACTCATTATAAAGATTAGGGCCTTGAGCTTTGAGTGTATAGATGCACTATAGAGTTGTCATAAAAATACTTTTTGTGTTGCACTATGTCCTAACATCCAGACAAGATGTTGTAATATCATTGCCTTGAAATGATAAGGTTCTATCTGCGTTCTAAATGATTGAGATATTGAGCTACAAAGAGTTTTCATTCCATATGGCAAACAAAATGTGTGTAACAGTTCTCTTACATACATTAAAATGACAGAGAACCTAAATGTACTCTAAATGTAAATGATCGAAATTATCTTCAATTTGCAAGTTGGGGTAAAATAAACAGGGCAAATGCACATAAAATATTTTAATTTAAAAAAGTCATTATTCGCTTGGAATTATAATATTTTATCTAGCAGATCATTAATTGAAGCATTACTTTTCAAGAAATAACCTCAGCCTGCTTATTATTTAGTTTAAAAAAATAAAATTAGTGTTGTAACTGTGTTGAAAAAAAAGTTATTTTTTGCTTTCTATAACATTAATTTATTGTTTTAAGATTAATATTTTTTTCTTGTTCAAATTAAGCATACAAGGCTGTGCTAAATATTTTGTACAGTGCAGCTGTTACTTTTTTATGTGATTAATAGGGTAACATTTATTGTTGAAATTAAGAAAAAAAAACAAAACAAACAAACTTATATGGAGTTTAGACTGCTGTCCTTGACAAGGTTGTCTATAAAATAGTCGATAGGGAGGTTTCTTCTCAATTTTGTGTGGCGCAGCATTATTTAGTCGATTCTGATTTTGGGTTTCTTTCCCGCTGTCAACAGAACAGTCCGAAGGAATGACAAAAAAAGCTGAATCCTGATTGGTCCTCATGCGTGCTTTCGAAATGCTGATTGGCTCACAGGAAGAGCCTTATAGAGCCAAGCTAGAATTTGACTTTGTAGATTAAACCTTTTTTGTTTTTTTAAATAAAAAGCCTTAAAACATAAACAACTTATTTAAAATAAAATCACATAATGTAAATACATTGTATTTTATAAGAATATGTGGATAACTCAATTTTGACAAAAATGTCAGTTAGAACCTTATCATTCTAAGGTGATGATATAAAAATAATGATAATAATAATAATTAGTATACTGTTTTTTAAGTTAAAGTCAGAATTATTAGTCCCCCTTAGAATTTCCTTTCTTTTTTATATAACTTATTATTTATTATACAATAACTTGCCTAATTACCCTAACCTGCCTAGTTAACTTAATTAACCTAGTTCAGCCTTTAGATGTCACTTTAAGCTGAATACTAGTATCTTGAAAAATATCCAGTCAACTATGAAGCATTGTCATCATGGCAAAGATAAAATAAATCAGTTATTAGAAATGAGTTATTAAAACTATTATGTTTATAAATGTGTTGAAAAAGTCTTCTCTCCATATAAATTGGGGAAACAAATAAATAGGGGGGTTAATAATTCTGACTTCAACTGTACATCACAGAAATCGTGAAAACTGTTAAAAAACAATTGTCAAATTTAATGGCAGATTAGCAAAGAAACTGTGATTTAGATGGACAAAATGCCTTTTATTGCATTTTACAGAGTCACATATTGTTAGGACAAGGTGTTATACTCAAAAATGTTTGAAAACTCATACTTTTAGCAACATTTCATTTGTAAAATAATCCATTGTACTATGTCAATAACATTAAATACATAAAGATCTGTTTAGTGGTCCACAGGTTTACCGTTTACCACAGCAGTTACCGTGTCCAGTTGAATATTTACTTTCAATTAGAACTTTTTTGTGCATCAACACACATTCAGTTTCAAAACATAATGTATTGCACAAGCTGTATAATTTTTATGTAATAGTGTTTTTCTGAAGCTTTAAAAAAATCCCCAATTTAAATAGCATCAAAGATATTCCTACAGGTAAATTAAACTAAATAAGGGCAAGTGCAAGACATCCTTTTCATTTTTGTGTGAACTTCTCCTGTTTCTGTGATCTGTTCCAAATACCAGATCAAAGGCAGACTGAGGGTCCACGGTGACCAAAATCTGCTCACTCAGAGACACCTCCATAAAACAAACCCCTATTCCATCATAGCCTTTCTAATGAGATTCCCAGAGACATAAAAGAAACTCCTTTCCACAAGGACAGACTTGTGCAAATGCTTAGTTTTGCTGATCCGTTTCTATTCTCTGTGTTTTGTGAGGACAGAGAGGACTGGAGGGATGGCAGAGCAGTGGGGGGCCGGGGGGGCTTATCATCCCTAAACACGGACAGGACTGTGAGCGGCAGCTGTGTTCCCTGTGGTCCCGTCAGCCCATTAGGCAGGCTTTTCCTGGCACAAGCCACTGGGCCGAAGGAACAGGTGCTGCATTCAACCTTTCCTTTTTGTATATATATATACATAATGGAGCCACATCAGCAGTATTTATTTAATCACGGAGCTGCTCCCCACTGGATAGTGAATACAAGTATGACTCATCTACAACATGTCCAAATTATTTGCTTGTTAAAGTTGATGTGAGTAATTTTTTGGATGTTAATCTCAGTTTAACATTGAAAGATTTCTGTAAGCCATTGTCTAAATTTGGTATTACACACAGTATAGACTTTGCTTCTGTGTAGTAGTTTTGTAATATTTATTATTAATAACAATAGCGTGCTACATTTATATACTGAGTTTATTTTTTAGAACTTTCGCTTTTTTTGACAATTTCAATATACTTTTAAAAGTTTTCTAACAAGCTTTAAGTTTATATAATTCAGTTTTCGTCTCACGATACAGTACATGTACTACAGTATTCATTCATTCATTGTCCGCCAGCTTAATCCCTTACTTATCAGGGGTTGCCACAGCGGAATGAACTGCCAACTATTCCAGCACATGTTTTACACAGAGGATGCACTTTTTTACGCAGAGCTGCAACCCAGTACTGGAAAACACCCATACGCACTCATATTAACACAAACATACATGGGTACAATTTTCTTTGCCCAATTCACTTATAGTGCATGGCTTTGGAATGTGGACGAAACTGGAGCACCCAAAGTAAACCCACAGGAACATGAGGAAAACATAAAAACTCTACATAGAAATGCCAAGTTGGCTCAGCCGGGACGCCGTGACCTTCTTGCTCTGAGGCAACAGTGCTAATCACTGAGCCACCGTGCCACCCCATACTACAGTATTTAATATTAAAAATAACTTTTTATAGTTTACAATTACTTCAGGGTGTCAATGTGGCGCAGTTGGTAGCGCGATCGCCTCACAGCAAGAAGATAGCTGGTTCATTCATATTTTGGCGGAGTGCTTTGGGTCATTGTGCTGCTGGAAAATGCTGCATTCACCTTTCCCTCTATCCCGACTAGTCTTCCAGTTCCTGCTGCTGAAAAACATCCCCACAGCATGATGCTACCACCACCGTGCTTCATTGTAGGGATGGTATTAGCCTGGTGATGAGTGGTGCCTGGTTTTCTCCAACCGTAACGCTTGCCATTCACTCCAAAGAGTTCCATTTCAGTCTCATCAGACCAGAGAATTTTTTTTTTTTTTGGGTCTGAGAGTCCTTCAGATGCCTTTTGGCAAATTCCTTACTAAGGAGTAGTTTTCGTCTGGCCACTCTACCATACAGGCCTGATTGGTGGATTGCTGCACAGATGGTTGTCCTTTTGTAAGGTTCTCCTCTCTTCACAGATGAACGCTGGAGCTCAGACAGAGTGACCATTGGGATATTGATCACATCCCTGACTAAGGCCCTTCTCCCCCAGATCACTCAGCTTAGATGGCTTCTCTAGGAAGAGTCCTGGAGGTTCCAAACATTCTCCACATAGAGATGATGGAGGCCCCTGTGCTCAGTGGATTTTTTATTTTTTTTTCTGTAACCTTCTCCAGCCTTGTGCCTCAAGACAATTCTGTATCGGAGGTCTACAGACAATTCCTTTGTCTTCATGCTTGGTTTGTGCTTTGACATGCACTGTCAACCCTGGAACCTTATATAGACAGGTGTATGCCTTTTCAAATCATGTCCAATCAACTGAATTTACAACAGGAGAACTCTTAATCTGCTGAAACATATCAAGAATAATCAAGAATAATAAAACTAAGAAGAATATATCTTTGTTCAATTTAGAGGCTATGAATACTTATGTACATGTGATTTTTCAGGTTTTTTATTTTTAATAAATTTGCAACAATTAAAAAAAAAATTCACATTGTCATCATGGGGTATTGTGTGTAGAATTTTGAGGACATAAATAAATTCATCCATTTTGGAATAAGGCTGTAACATAAAAAATGTGGAAAAAGTAAAGCGCTATGAATACTTTCTAAATGCACTGTAACCAGTTATTCTCAAATCAGTCTTTTATTAATTTTTTATTAATATTTATTTATTTATTTATTAAAATGAGCAAAACTAAGATGTAACAACTGGTTTTACTGCGTTTTCACATTTGCCTAGTTTGGACTTGCCACTTGCTAGCAACTGTTACTTTTAAAGCTTTGCAATCCATGAGGTAATGAAACTTAAAATCGATATTTTGTGGGAAGTTAAGCACCTTTTAAACAAACAGCGTAACGCACAACTAACTGAATGTTACTTCAAAATAATCCCCAGATCAGCATGTGAGGGTTTAATCTACAACCGATTGGATGTACATTAAATCTTAAACCTGCATGTGATGTATGTAAGGTCACTCTAGTGCAAGTTTTCAGGATGAGATGCCAGCAATGCCGGTTCTGCGGGTAATTACCAAAAGAATCTTCTAACCCATCTGGTTTTAATT